ATGGCAAAGTATTTCGTAAAGCAGCACTAACAGTGAATCAATTGCCTTACATTGAAAGCAAGTCAGTAGTGCTTTATGTAATACAAAACTAAATGATTAATGTGAGAGTGGTGAATGTCAAAGGGATCGGTCATCCAAAAATGCAAACGCATTTACTTAACCCAATGTTGTTCCAAAACTGTATGACCTTCCATCTTCTGCAAAACACAAATGAAAATATTTTGAAGAATGTTGGTAACCATTTGGTGACCTCTGACCTCCATTGTCAAAATATCTTGTTTTGTGTTCCACAGAAGAAAGAAAGTCATTAGGTTTGGAATGACATGAAGATGATTCAATGATGGCAATATTGATTTTAGGTGAACTGTCCCCTTTCAACATACATGAAAAACCTTAATAATGTCACGCCTTTTCTAAATAAATACCGCATTGTGAACAATGTGTTTCAGAGCAGTGCAAAGACGTGACACACAAAAGTTACCTTGCTAGAATGACTATGCAGACAAAATGAAAACAAGCTCTGGAAATTGAATTCTGATCCCTTGTTTTAAAAGAATGTATTTCTAAGACGGCGTCCTCCTGAAGATTAGTGTATAACAACGTTCTTCAATTGCCTTTCGAGAGCATTTAATCAGACAGCAGTGTATTTATTTTGAAGCTTTTTTACATTTTCCCTTTGGAATAATAAGCCTATACAACCTGCCAATCCTAGACAAACAAGAACGACAATCAGGTTTAAAAGCAATTCCTAATCTCTCGGAAACCAACAAAAAGCTATATGGCTGCAGAGATCCATTTAGGACAATCTCTTCAGCATTTGAATGCATTCGAATGTGAGAAACAGACTTTCTAATTGACAAAACACAAAAAGCTCAGTTCGACACTGAAAGACACGTCTGCATACATACAGAATCACTATCCACATCCTTAATCAATAACTTAATATCAGCCATCTCAGAGCAATTGTATGCAAATCCATGCAGCCTAAAAATAGTCATCACTGTGTGGCTTGTGAATATTTATACTATTGTACTTTTAACCAATGGGCACAATTTAACAAGCCACAGCGACAGCCGGAGTCTTTGAGCACCGCTTCGATTTTTGAACACACAAATGTAGAAGTGCAAAAAAAGAAAAGCATGATTGAATTATTCATTTTGGCAGAGATTTGGCAGCAGGAGAGCGCAGCACTGCCTTGAGTGCAAATAACAGAGACCATCTTCCAGTTTCCTACACCTCTGCACTGAAATGCATAAATAGCACTACATAGAGATAATCAGCAAACCCTTTGGGACTTGGACACAATATTCTCAGTCTGCAGTAATTCCCTGGTGTACCTGATCATTTATAACGACGGACGACTCTCCTGTACCCTCAAATCCCGGCCCCATTCTGCCCCTCTCTGTGTGTGATGTAATACTGAGGACACAGGATATGATCGATATGAATTATAAATACGATCTCAAGACATATGTTTTGTTGCACTTTCTCAGCAATCTGATCCTAGTCTGTCCTCCTCAAGATACATTTTGTCATTCTAAAGTCCAGGCGATTTATTAATTCATGAGCTCTCCTATGGTGCAGTACTCTCGTAGTCAGCACCTGCCGGAGAGGTACTTTCATAGGCATTCAGAGTCGAGTAATGCAATTCCTCACTGGTTTCACTTTCATTGTGCTGTGCCTGGCAGTGCAGCCTGTTTCGAATCATCAAGTTTCCTTAAATTAATCCAAATTAAATGCGACTCTTTTGTTATTTTTAGATATAATTTATGCATTTGTTCTTCCCACCAACACTCACAGGAAATAGAAAGAGTGAAAATTAAGCAAACAATGTGTTTCTGAGGGTTGTGACACTGTGGAAGGTCAGATGTACGAGGCCAAAAATATAAATAATATTTTTTTTTAGAATGGCTATTTTCAAAGTTCCCCCCCCAAAAAAAAAAAAAACCAACAACAAAAAACAGACTGCCTTTATTATATCAAAGGTACACTGAAAATAATTTTATTTTATAAAATATTGTATAATTACAATTTAAAATAACTATTTTAATATATAACACTAACTTACTTACTTATAATAAATAACACCATTTTAATATATTTTAAAATGTAATTTATTCCTGTGATGCAAAGCTGTATTTTTTAGCATCATGCTCCAGGCTTCAGTATCACATGATTTTTCAGAAATCATTCTAATATGCTCATTTGTGGCTCAAGAAACATTGTTGAAAACAGCTTTGCTGCTTAATATTTTTGTGGAAACCAGGATACATTTTTATCAGGATTCTTTGATGAATAAAAAATTCAAAAGAACAGCATTTGCTGAATGCTTGCTGAATAAAAGTATTATTTTAAATATATACATATGCTATAATAATAATTCTTACTATAATCATTACAAACTAACCCTAAACCAAACCCTAACCCTATAATAAGTACATGTTAATTATTACTCAGTACTTAAATATACAATTGCACTGTAACAAGGACACCGTAAGATAATGTGTGATCAAAAAAAAAAAAAAAACTACTGACCTCAAACTTTTGACCTGTAGTGTAATTGAAAATCTTGTTTTATGTGCAAATGATTTTCAATTTTTGGGTGAACTGCACCTTTAATATGTTGAAGGTTATTCTAGGCTAATGCGGTCAATCCCTGAGGCATCTCTATTACTGAGGCCGTAACTTTACAGACTCAGTTAATCAGTCTCCTTATTGACAGTTGCTTTATTAGATTATGAGCAAACGTGCAGGTATGTTAGCTGTGTGCACACCACATGGAGCCACATAATCCACAGCGTGCAGCTAGCATTTCTAGCGTTTGATTCAATGGGAATTCTCCTTCCTCTAAATGCTGTCAAACAAATAATACATTTAAGCTCAATGCCACAAATCAAGCAAAGCCAACACAAGAAACTCTCCTCAGCTGTCACAGTCAATTTGAAGAATTACAATGGCTAAATTACATATCTTTAAGAAACATAATTTGCCAGCAGATGGAGACCAATCTGTTGGAAGATTTTTGCCCATTCTTTAAATCCAAAGACAGTAAGACTTTCTGGAATACTTGATTGCGATTGGTCGATTGCAGCATTCAGTGCTCAGATTTGTATAATGACCACTTAACAGTAGCCTTTAATTGACCGCTGTACAAGGCAAATGATTTCCTGCATAACTGTGCTAGTCTTTTGCATTTTGTCTCTTTCTTTCACAGTTGATAAAATGATATTTACATGCATGCATTTGGCAGATGCTTTTATCCAAAGTGACTTGCATTCATGCTATATTCAATCAGTTCATGCATTCTCTGGGAATTGAACCCATGACCTTGGAGTTGCTTGCACTGTGCTCTACAGTTTGAGCTACAGGAATATCTGACACTGAATTGTGGTTTCATATTCATCTGAAACGCTTATGCAAGTTGTGAGTGAGCAAAAACTGTTTTACGGAAGAGCATATGTGCTTTGGTGATGGTCTTATCATTCAGTTCTTATGGAAGTGTGCATGCCAACACCATCATGAATGTACACAGAGTTTAGCGCATAGAGAGTTTACATTGTGATATTAATAGCATGCTGACATTTGCACACCACCTCAGGAAGAAAAAAGATACAAGCTCAACGTAGTGAATGTGCACCATTTTCTCTAATCACCAAGGACATATTTCCCTCAAGGGAAATGATTAGCTCTCCAGTCTTGCAATTTAAAGCAACTTTGATAAGCAATTAAATTGTTTTCCATTGCGCCTCTCATTTCTCCTTTCTTTCATGTGAACTTCTGGAACAGCTGCTTTGAAACCACATACATGGGAACAATGGCTGGCTCTTGGGCCCGCTCACAAACGGATGTTGAGGAAATACAGTTGTGTGATCAGTGAGCCTTAAAATTGTAATTGTTCAGTCTTATAAAAAAAGGTATATTTCAAAAGATGCATAAATACCAGTGCAGTTGCATAACTGGGGAAAATAAATGTGGTTGTGATGTGTAATTTATGTACTTTCACAGACCTCAGTGCACTCGTGAGTTTAAAGAGCCCATGTGGCCTAACATGACTTCTGTGTTTGATATAAGTTTTAATTAGTGCACCACAACAGTTAGCTTAAAGCTTCACAGTTCAAAAAAAAAAATTATTTGAATGCATTTGAATGCATTAACTAATGTAAACTAATGGTAAAGTAACTTTGATAAGCAATTAAATTGTTTTCCATTGCGCCTCTCATTTCTCCTTTCTTTCATGTGAACTTCTGGAACAGCTGCTTTGAAACCACATACATGGGAACAATGGCTGGCTCTTGGGCCCGCTCACAAACGGATGTTGAGGAAATACAGTTGTGTGATCAGTGAGCCTTAAAATTGTAATTGTTCAGTCTTATAAAAAAAGGTATATTTCAAAAGATGCATAAATACCAGTGCAGTTGCATAACTGGGGAAAATAAATGTGGTTGTGATGTGTAATTTATGTACTTTCACAGACCTCAGTGCACTCGTGAGTTTAAAGAGCCCATGTGGCCTAACATGACTTCTGTGTTTGATATAAGTTTTAATTAGTGCACCACAACATTTAGCTTAAAGCTTCACAGTTCAAAAAAAAAAATTATTTGAATGCATTTTAATGCATTAACTAATGTAAACTAATGGAATCTTATTGTAAACAGTTGCCTAAATAATAACATCAAATCAATCAATATAATTTTGCGATATTTATAATCAAAATCTTAGCATTAGAAAACTACAATACAGAAGCATAATCACTAATGATCTCAGAGTTTTGGACCCCACCGTATATTGATTGGTCAATAAATGACGCATGGAAATGTACAGTACAATGCAAAAGACTTTAATAAACTTCCAAAGCTCAAACATACATAAAACAGTTATATACAGTTTACTTCACAAGTTGGCAAATCAACTGAGAATACAAAGATAATGTAAAGTGCTTCATATATAATGAAAGTGATTTAACCAACTCCTTACATGAAAAGAAAAAGTCCATTTCTTTTTTTCATTTTTTTCCCCCTCCCCTCTCATTCTTTGTCAATGGCAAATATCCAGGCATGTCTAATTGTTTCTTGCACAGTGCTGCAGTTTTCTATGCGAGTCATTCTGTGTTTCCTACTCCAGAGCGTTACACTTGACACCATTAAGACATCTGATACCTCCGCAAGAATAAGAGGTCAAACATTTGGGCCCAAAGACACTTCTACAAATCAGTCCATTTGCTAAAAAGGAGTAAATTACTGCTCGTACAAAAGTGCTATCCATCGAAGCAATTTATTAGTGATGTAAGTCATTCCAGACGGAAATACCCGGCTGTTAAGTTTCACAAAAGAGAGCTTTAGCTGTGGGATGCTTATTATCACAACTTCAAAGTGCTCATGTACGGTGAGTTCTCGATTTATCGTAAATTTATTGCTGTTGACATAAAATCTGAATAGTCCACGTTGTATTCTCGTGCTCTGTACTGTATTTTCTACTTTTAATATACTTTTTTTTTTTTGTCGTCTCGGTTGTAAGAATACATAGCATGTCAGTTTCAGAATATACAAACACCTAGGTGATGTAACTAAAACCTACCATCTCGTATGACAAGATTGCCAGAGGCTTTCTATTCAAAATCAGTAAATACATCTCAGGTTATATTGGCTCTAGTAAAAGCGGACTACAACAGACAACATATAGAGGTCAGACCCGGTGTCCCTTTCTACTGCGTACAAGGGGTTTCTTTGATTAGGAAGCGGGAGCGCTGTCCCATATGATGGCAGCTTAGCAAAGCATTAGGGTTCTTTTTGAATCTTCCGCGTCCCAAAGTCAGAGGCAATCAGTGACAGAGCTAAAACGTGTTGGTACCTCCTATTGAGGGCCATGCATTTCAATGTTAACAAGCGTTGGGACGGTGCGAGGAGAGCCGTGGCAATCGGTGACGAGGAGTTCGCCGTGATCTATCGAATACGAGCACAGAATGAACAAATGAAACAGTAAAAGCAGGTGAGCAAAGGATATGAAAATGGAAAAAAAGAGAAACAACCACCAGGCACGTCGAAGTTTCATTGAACTTTGTCTAATATGTCAATCAAGAGAATCAGTTAACAAAATCAATAAATAGACACACAGACGACAAGGACTGTGCTGCTGCTATACATAAATACATTTCTATATAAACATCCTATACAGAGGTCTTTGCCATATTCATATTGGAGTGGAGGTGTCTCTCGTGCCCTATTCGGTGCACCCGGTGAATGAGGACAAAAGGGGTTAAACAAAGCATTTCAAACCTCCCACAAGTCACAAGCAGAGTTTCGGACGTTTAAATTAGTCTGGCGTTACTCTCTAGGACCCGTTTGAGGCTGGAGAATGTGTACAGTTCGTGTTTTCACCTCTTCAGTGAGTGCCTTCCTCTCCCTCCCTCCCTCTCTTTAGGAAATGGCAGCTAGAGATTGATTTTTATCCTGTGGGAGCGAGCTGTACCTGTGCCACAGAGTGTGCCATAGAGTGGTGGTTTCAGTGCCGTCTCCTGTAATATAGAGAGACAGACAGATATAGGGAGATTGTAGTTACAAATTCATCTGGTTTGCTAAGCTGCAGTATGTACTGTGTAAGATGATAATGAAGGCCTATCTCTCTGGACATATACATTCACGTGCATACATAGAGAGAGAGGGAGAGAATCAGCATTCTTCAAGGAACAGACCGAAAGAGGTTCGTGTTCATTTCATCTCATCGGATTTACCTTGAAGAATGCTGGGAAGTGACTAGTCAGTGCATGCAGGTAAACTAAATTGCTTTTTGCTCCAAATGTGCTGTTACACCCACCACACTACAGCAACACTCATTCATTGATGACAACAGGAAGCTCATGTGATTAAAACATTTTTTGAAATGAACATGTTTTTAAAAATACGATAAAACTCCGCTAATAAGGTTATATTTACTTCATTATTACTCAATCTCTTAAATTCATCATTGAAATATATCAGCAAGCAGCAGTGGACCTGTTAATGAGCATGTGCAAGAGGAAAGTACCATTTCAAAGCTCTTTGTACTGTAGATTCAATCTTCAGCAATGTTAAATGAACACTGAGTGACTTTTAAAAACTTATATTACAATGCAGCTACACTGGTAGAACACGATGGCAGTGATGTCAAGGTCATGGTTCGTTTCCTTGGTAACACACATGCCGATAAAATGTATACGAATGAATTCAGGTTTCTTTGAGGAGGGAAGAAGAAAAAAAAACAAAAAAAAACACACTGCTGTTCCATCTTCAAAAATGCAAAAGCACCAACATGTATTTCTTAACCTCATGTGTTTTAGGATTCTTTTTTTTTTTGTAATATATAAATGTACTGCCACTTATAATAAATTTAGCACGTCTTCGCTAAAATATCATTTTGAACTTTTTTTTGTAGACATAACTAATTGAAAGTTGAATTAACTAGTAACTGTTGTTTCAACTCATAAACGCATGTTTGAAACAACTGCATCACACCGAAAGAAATATATTACTAAAGGCCAAGATGCACAAGAATTGCTGATGGGCTAAACGCTGCATAAATCGCCTGGAGTTTGACACAACTGGAGGTAATCAATACAAAGAGAGAAATTCAAGAGAGATCAATCACTTCATGTTCTAAAAAAATGTGTTTAGTTGGAAATAAAGGCACATCTGCCCTAGACCCGGCGAGATTCAAAAATGTAGAAATTAGAATTTGAATTATTGAAACGCAGGTGGTTGACAGCACAAACTGTGGACTCAAGGACATCCTCTCCCATATCTTATGATGTTTTTGAAATGCTGAATGTACCATGAAGCCTGATGCAAAGAAAATGTGTTTGACTGTGAGACCCCATACGACTGTGAGGGCATATTCATACCAATCCAAATAGGGATGGGTTTGCAAGTAACATGAGGTTAGAATGGCGAAGCTACTGACCTCAAATACACCCCTGCTCTGAATATAGAGGCCTTATAGCGTTTGATTTGACTAGAGTTCTTGCATATTCATGGCCTTGCCAGGGATCAGTCAAGTACGGCGGAATTTACTTGATCTGCCACAACTAAAGTGTGTATTCAGACAGAAGCCCCCCCACCACCACCACCGGAGGGATTGACCTCTAAAATCACTGTCTGAGAACAGGGAGACGAAAGATAAAAGAAAGGCAGAGATGAGTGAAAGGGGTGGGAAAGAGGTCCGTGGTGGTGCTCGGAATGCAAAATGGACCACTGATAGTATTATGAGCCATATGGCCCTTAAATATGTTGTACTTTGACGAGCTTTTCTTTGATGCTGACATCATTCCCAGCCCCGCTAAGCATCCCATTGACCTTCACCAGCGAATGTTTCCTGGGAGAAATGCATCCTTTAATGGTCCCTACAAATGTTCTTGCACCTATTCATCATGGCAAATTCAGACATGATGTTTCTCAGACATCGAGATGGGGTCGCTAAAGTTAAATAATGCTGACATTTGTGTCACTGCTTTATAGCTAACACGAGACACTAGAGATTTTTCACCAAATATGGGGCCAGTGGGTACAAGACATGATCTGATATTCTAGAATCTCTTCTGCAATATCCACTGTCTATTTGTCAGTAATGGCTCTGAGCTGATATCCAAGTTGTGGTTTAAAATGACTAAGTAAGAAGAAATATTATAGACAATAGCTAATATATGAAAAGAAAAATTAGCTTTACCGAAAGTATGGAATGGTAAGATACAACATAAAGAGCACTTCACTTCAGAATTGGAGATGAATCAACACTGTCTAACTTCTTTCTAATAGATTATTTCAATAGTCTATACCTGTCAAAACATACAGGATACCTTTAAGATGTACAGAAATAACATACGACTAAGGCATTCAAAGTTACACTCAATATATTTAAAACCTGAAGAGTTATAAGTTTCTTTCTTTCTTTCTTTCTTTCTGAAAGAAAGAAAGAAAGAAATCATATAAAGATCCGGTCGAAACCTGCCCTTCAATAGGTTTTGAAATGCTCAAAGAAGGGGTCAATGTTATTAAGAATGCACTCTTTATGACTAAGTAAGAAGAAATATTATAGACAATAGCTAATATATGAAAAGAAAAATTAGCTTTACCGAAAGTATGGAATGGTAAGATACAACATAAAGAGCACTTCACTTCAGAATTGGAGATGAATCAACACTGTCTAACTTCTTTCTAATAGATTATTTCAATAGTCTATACCTGTCAAAACATACAGGATACCTTTAAGATGTACAGAAATAACATACGACTAAGGCATTCAAAGTTACACTCAATATATTTAAAACCTGAAGAGTTATAAGTTTCTTTCTTTCTTTCTTTCTTTCTGAAAGAAAGAAAGAAAGAAATCATATAAAGATCCGGTCGAAACCTGCCCTTCAATAGGTTTTGAAATGCTCAAAGAAGGGGTCAATGTTATTAAGAATGCACTCTTTTAACATAAAAATAATAATAATTTAAAATATATACACATATATATACATACATACATACATACATACATATATATATACATATATAGTCTTCCACATATGCACATTAATTTGCTGCAGTAGCTATAGTATTCACAGTACAGGGTACTACAAAATATGATGATCTGGTCAGTCGCACTGGTGCTCCTAAATATTTTTTTATAGTCGCACGCAAATGCGACTGAAATGGTCGCACTGTAGAGCCCTGAAGGCACCGTCTTAATAGGATTTTAATCACAAATATTTAAGAATCTGATGCAAGGTTTCAAAACCTTCAACAAATATTTCTGTATATTTCAAGATACACAGAAGCAGGAAGACAACTATGGCAGGGCAAATTACAAATCTAACCTGAATTATGTGTCATTCCATAATCTCACTATGTAAGCAGGCTTATGTATAATGCACCATGGCAGAGCGTTGCTTTTAACTGCATTTTAAAATAAAGGCCTCATGGTGAAAATGGAACATCAGCTATGTGTGGGTGTCACCTTAAATTACCATGCGCACAAAGCATCTGAGTGGATATACTGTAATTTGTAAGAAATATGCAGAGGGGGATTTTCTTCAATAAGGACAAGAGCTCACAGTGGATGACATGATATTATAGAAGAAAAAAAAAAA